TTTTATTTATTATTATCTTATAAACGGTTTGATTTTTGTTTTTGATTTTTTTTTTCTTTAAAACTTTGTTTTTTTTTTTCGTGATCCGATCCGTGATCCGATCCGTGATCCGATCCGTGATCCGGTCAGTGATCCGGTCCGTGATCCGGTCCGTGATCCGATCCGTGATCCGATCCGGTCCGATCCAGATTTTGTCGACGCCGTAGCAACATAAACAAATTTGGCTACTTACAGATCTGTTAAGGAAGTCAATCTCGCGAACATCCTCTTATGAATGGCCGTTAACTTAATCTTCTTTAGATTTCTTTAGTGAAATAGAAACATAAAACAAAAGTTGTTTTCTGGGAATATTTAGTGGCGCTTAGCAGTGGAAAATTGTTCACTTACAAAGACTTAATGCTTTCCCCAGACATCTCTTCAATTTCTTCGATAGCACTTTTGTTTAAAAACCTGGATTGGAATAAATGACATATGACACTTTATCTTATGGTAACACTAAGTGTTCTCTGTGGTTGTCTCTGAAAGAATAGCAAAAAGTATAAAGTATAAGATATGGTTTTGCATATAAATTTACAGAGGCGACGTAATATATAATATACGGAAGACAGTATTTCATCACACTTCGAAAATAGAGTGTAAAATACTATATGTGGTGAAGTTTTAGACGAGCTCCGAGGCCGGCTTCAAAACGATACGAAACAATGTTACTTGTGTATGATATATTTTTTCAATCCAAACTAGTTTAAGGAAGCTCCGTCACGGTGTTTTGTCTTTGGTTTTGGCCACGTACACTGAAATCCCCTTCAAATGGAAGGGAACCTGAAAATAATAGTTTACTAAGATAGAAAGACATTAAAGAGATAATAATTAACCACAAAGGAACAAGGATGGTCAAGGATGGCGAAGATTGACAGGGATTGCAAACGACAAACTTGAAAAATTTAGGCTAAACTTTTCAAAATGTGCAAATCGTGACTGAGCTCCTTTAAAGTTAAGGAAATAAAAAAAAGAGTAATTAAAAAACTTTTGCTAATTAGGAACGCATCTTCTCAAACTCATTAATAATTCATCAAGTTAAAACAAAGAAAATCACAACCGTGATGGAGGTTTGGATACCCGATCTTAATTAGCATAGATTTTGACGATTTTGCTTCTCCGTTTACTGCTAAGTTTTTGTTTTGATTGAGAAGATATATCAAACACTTGAGACAGTGTTTCATCGGCTGTCCAAACACCTGGAACCTCTAACATTATATATTTATTTCCTATGTGTTTACTCTTTCTTCTCTTATACTGGATTTCTTTTATCCTAAAATAAATGTGTTTAATTAAAGGGCATATAATTAGTTTACGATATTTTGCCCTCTCCACTTCTTTTTCACTGCACTTGTTTTGTTAACAATATTGTATTCATGTCTTCAAGTGGAGAAATACAAATAAAAAGTTCTCCTACTGTATTAATAATTTTTGTTACGGGAAAATTGTTTCAAAATGTTTCATTTTGTAATATAAATAATGTCAGAACTTGATATTTACAGTTTGTTAAGGAAAAGGAGACGCGAGAACGTCCCCCTTGAGATGTTCTTTATGTTATTGCCATCTAGATACCTAACAATTGTAAAAATAATTACTGTAAATCATTAAGATGAAACCAGGCTTAGTGCTCCTACAAGATATATAGCAGAGCATTGCGTAATTTCCTTATCCCTTACCGGCGAGAGGAGCACATTTAGGGTTAAGGTTTAAAGCACAGCTTGATTTTGACGGCCTTAAAAATAGACATATGTTTCTCTAAATATAATAACGTACACCACAAAGAGTGATCCGCTTTAAAATCCCAATTTTGCAATTTGTCAAAAGAAGTCTCCTATCTCGTTTATAGCACAGCTCTCAGAAGAAAATTTCTGGGTTGTTACATGTTTACAGAAGCTGTTTGTAGATTTTTATAGTAGTGTAGGAGGCTTATAGGGGGTCGAAATTGGCATATCATAGGTGAAAGTAGGGCCTAATGAGGTAAAAATAAGAGGGTTTGTATGGGCTGCAATATTCAAGATGGTGGAAGTACCCGAATTTGTCCAGGTCCCTCTCGGTCAAGGGGATGGACCAATCAGCGCCTGGGATTCGATGACGTCATGTCATGAGGAGCTGCGTTGTGGCTGTCATGGCGTACTAGTTGACATCACGAGGAAGGGGGAGGGGAGGACATGATGAGGAGCGGGTTTTGGGTCTTCGATGACGTCATGAGGAGATGCACCATTGAAGATTCAAGTCTATTTTTTAAATGTTTTTTTGATAATCACAGAAAAAAAA